CACCTTTGGCAAAGTAGAAAGGAACGATTGGCCATCGGTGATCGGTCCTGTGGGAACAATGCTCCGTCCTCTCGAGGACGCGTGGTCAATGGTCTAACCGCTAAGACATGCAAAACATAAGAGCACGCCCCCCGCCCCTCCCTCCCGGCGCTCTAGCAGGTGCCCGGCCGACGGCCCACCTGCAAGGTCCACAGCCACCGCACCCGATGCTGAAGATCCCGACACCGGCGCTGGCCGTGAGCCCGTTCTCCCCTGTGCAACTCCCCGCATCCAATCCCAACGGTCCATGTAGCGGAACGCAGTGCACGGATCTTGGGAACCCGTCGTTCGCCAACAGGAGAGACAACACATGCTCGACCAGCAAGATCGGCGCCAAGCCTTGAAGGCACTTGACCGACGGTCGACCCCCCGCGCGGAGAAGGCCAGTTTCTCCGCCTCTCGGCAAGCCCCAGGCCACGAAGTAGATCCGGACAGAGCAGGTTCCTTGTCCGCCAACAAGGGGCTGAAGCCGGGACAAACGCTCCACGCGCGACCCCTCGGCGCAGCGAAGGCCTCCAAAGGTAAAAACTCGGGGAAAGGTCAGCGTAGGCAACGTGGAGCTCAGCAAGAAAGCGGCTGGACCACCGGTCCGACTGGCCCGAGGGGGGCGACACGGCTACGAGCGGCGCCAGCGCAACGGGCGGCGCGGACTGCAGCGGGCGGCGTGGGCGTATCGGGCGCCGCCGCAGGCAATGGCCGCGTAGGCGACATGCTGTGGTGAGTTCCATACCTTGCACAAAAAAGGATGTAACAAATTTACGCCGAGTTGTTGCCGTTTACTGTTTCTTGCGGATGTAATGTGCACTATTTTCATCGGGTGCTTGTTTTTTCGAGATGCGCAGATGACAAGCTATATCTTTATTCTCCACCTGTTGCGCGGACCCCTCCAAAGTGCACCAGACGATGCGCGTAATTGATAAAGAACACAGGTATGTTAAAAGGGTGTGAGCACGACAACCACACCTACGCAAGTAAAGCAGTCTTGGTTCCTTCTCTTTCGGACTTTCGGGGACGGACCCAAACAAAAAGAGCCACCACAAAAAAGAACAACGACAATGAGCGCCGTAATGTTACTTCCAAGGACAACACAGGGGGGGTGTATCGGTAGTGATGGGACGGTAGAGTGGTTGCAGGAGTAGGAGAGCTTCAGACAGCACAAAAAACGGGTTTACTTTTTTATGTGTTTTCGTACCCACCGATCTCGGCGCCAGTCTTAGACTATTTTCCTTTCGGTGTACGATTGACGCTCCACCAGCGCCCGGAGTCAGGAATGAGGAGGAAGAAGATACTACAGCATTGGAGATATTTTTCTCGCGGTATGGGTAGGTTCGTGCTTGCGTTAGGGAAGAATGAATTGCGTAACACGGTTTTGGGTGGAAACACGATGATGTTTGGTTCTGGTGCTGCCGGCGCAAGAATCGTGTCGGCGCTTCCAACGTTCATGTTCATGCTGCGAACCGTGATGGCTCTGTTTTGCAGCACTGCGAGCATTACCGTATGCATGCGCGGCCTACGTTCACACGACAACTATCACAGACAGAAGATACTTTGAGCTATTGGTGATCGTGTTGTCTGTTGGATGTTAGGATAGACTAGTCCATAGACTACTAATAGAACATTCTAGCCCTGGCGCGGTCCACTCGCCTGCCGTCGGGGGGCGCAGCCACGCAGCGGTCTATCTGGTTCACTTTGCAAGTACGCTCCATCGGGTGACATCGGGTTTCGCCAAGCACAGCTCAGGGGCGGCAAAGATCGGAAACCAAACCTAGCTTATCTCTTGATATATTGACGATATTTCATCAGTGTGGGAATGCCACCCAAGTGATCGCCAAACTCCGTTCGTTGGTGTATCGATTTTTCGAAGAAGGTTCATGATATCAGCCCGGAGCAAATACATGGTGCTCCGCCTCTCTTTCTGTCGAATATCCATGACAGTCTACAGTTCGTGGTAAATAGCATTACATGAAGCCTAAACCACCCTGCGTGGCTAGGCGCAGGGTGAGGTCTCCACAACAGCACCTGATGAACTCTTTGCAGCAGATGAGGGTGCGCGGGAATTCTTCTCCTCGAAACAAGCAAGGGCTGACAACAACAGGTTGTACCGACTGAATTATTTTGTCTACAGGCTCAATGGCCGCCTACTGTTCAGAGCAGTGGCTTCCGCTTTATTCAGGTTCCTTGCAAACTTGTTATTCAGGGCATATGCGCGTACGATGAGACTTGAAGTGCCTTTCGTCAGAAACAATGCAAAGTTTTCCTCCGGGTCAATCTTGCCATCGAAAACAGCTCGCCAATAATAAAAGAGAGGTTGAGCTGCTAGCAAGATGTCCGCGAGGGTCGTGCTGTCTGCTTTTGTGGCGTCAAAGTTTTCTTTACAACATCTTTCCGTTGTTGGCCGGTAGTGACGTCAACCGGGTCGACGCGAACGAACCCTTGCGTTCCAAGAGGATTTGGTTGAACAAGTCGGGCCCTTGGGCGGGGAAAAGCGTATTGTCTTAGGAAATCAACTTTCAGATGGTTCTGAAGATGATGAAAAAACGGCCAAAACAAAATTAGCGACACTCCACAAAAACTATTGTAACCCGCACGAGATATGTCAATGTGCCACAGTTCTTACCTCGGGCAGATACGTACATTAAACCGCGTCCCGATTACTAAAATTGCCTTCTGACCGCGCGTGGGGGATAAAATCACTAAACAACGGCAGATCTACCGGCGAGCGCGCAACGCCACAAACAACAACCGACTGACCGGCTTGCACCACCTGTCGCCCGACAGAACCAACCCCCTTTCCCAACGCGTGTGTGATCAAAACCCACGTAGTCTACATCACGAACAATCGGTAGGTATGACCAGGAATGCAAATTAATAGGGGATATTCCGTTCCAGCCTCCAATAGTTCGGCCGTTGCTTTCCTCATGGATGTGAGTCACCAGGTCATGAAACATCTAGCAGAACGGTAGCGTACAGTAGACAGACGGCGACGCCAGACTGGAGCTTTGCTCATATTCTTCTCGGGCAGAAAAAGCAACAAAAGATGATCTAATATTTTTGTAGCACATGAACAACTAATTACACCTCCTGTGATCTGCCGTAGTATTTCCGCGTCAACGCCGGCGTGTACGAACGGCTGCTGCGCGACTTCGTTGACTTGATGATAAGAAAAAGCTACCCTCACCAATACGATTATCCTACACCCCCCCACACACCTCCGCCGACTAGCTCATTGAAACCAATTACTGTGTTGCCGTGAGCGGTAACAGGCTCTGCCAAAACACCGCTTACGACTCCCAACAATTCTAGCGCACCAGGCCCGGAGTCCATGTGTGGGATATCATTGGTACTGGTGGGGATCGAACCCCAAACGTGCCGCTACAGTTGACGGTAGACGGTAACCTTCCAAATCTACCTACCATGTTATCATGTAAAGTAAATCGTGGATGACCCGGACATCCTCCGTGAGTGGCGCCCTTTCAAACACGAGTAGCGCTACGAAAGGTGGTGTCGTTGGCGGGACTGCAGCCATCAGACGTTCAAGGAGAGAATCGAGGACGAGCGAAAAAAAAAAAACACAGCTACCAGGCAACGGCGTGAAGAGCGCGCACACGGAAAATTGTCTGTACCGACAACAGAGCCAGCTTCTCGAGGTAGTATTACCCGCAATGCAATCATCCAAACGCCTGCGCCGCCGCTGCTGCCACTGCTTCTGCCACTGCTGGGAATGTTGCTGTGACGAACGCATCAAACGTGGTCAAGGCCGCCCAGAAAAAATGCAAGTGGAAACCCAAGCGAGCGATAAATGGCGGGGCACCCCACCCCGCAGCCAAGGCCACGACATACAGACAGCACAATCGACTACTGGTATGGCCAAGTGTTGCCGTAATCCCATTCCTGTACATGTGTTGTCGCCGTCGCGAACACCCAACCTTTTCATCTTTGTGATAGCAACAACGCCGGATTCCGTACCCGACGACCTCTCCCTCCCCCCTCAACAACGCTACGGGCAAGATTTTCTATTCAGATCTTTTCTTTCCTCCTCCGAGCGGTTCCTCAGCGTTTCTCGACAAAAACAATCGCGGCTGTTCTTCCCATTTCGCAGCATGCTCTCGAGGGCTGTCCTGGTCTGTGACTACGATCTCCTTAGCTGAGGGGAACTGCAGCCACACACGAGTCACAAGCAATCGTAGACGTCTTGGACACGTCGAGGGTGCTGGTCTTGTTTAGGGTGTATCCGGGGTCCAGCCAGTGAGCAGGGAGGCAGGTCCACAGCGTGCGGTCCATTTTCCTGACCGTGTGAAATCGTTCGACGGCGGCGTGCGATAGATGGTTTCAGCACAAGAACGAAGGAGTTCACGAGAGAAAGATGTGGCCGAGAAACAATCCTATGGCAACGTGAGTTCAAACAAAACCCCACTCCAACGCCGAAAAAAAGCATCCGACGGATGCACCGTCGATATGAGGTGTTGCTACTTCATAGATAATGTGGCCCTCGCCGAAAGACAGCATGCATCACGAGTGGAACTTTGGCAAGGGTGTGAAATTCCCTCCTTCCCCTGTTGCTTTCGTCGGATCGTCCTGCACGATTGTTCCAAAACAGCAACCGGCTTGCAGCTCATACTACGCTCCAGAAAGCCTTCTGGTCGAACGCGCTATCGATCCAATGGTCGGCCATCCCATTCCTCCGTTCAAATAGAGGACCCGAGTGTATAAGTGATGTGTTCAATACGGGCAGGTGCCAAGCGCGTCCGGTCAACCGGCAAGCCGCGTCGTTCGGGGTTGCAGGGTGTTTTCACGAACTCATCGAGCAGCTTCGTCAGCAGCAAAGCGTCATATATTCCCTCCCACAATGCGTACGCCACAACGAGTGAGCAACAAACATGGGTACGGCAAATGATGACGGCCTTCTCGTACGCGCAAGTAACAGAGAATTCACAACCATAATCATTCCAAATATTTAAGGTTCGCCTCAATCGACTTCCTCGATTGTTCCTTGGTTCTTGATGGAGAGAACGTGCACCATGATTTCACGGTGGCCGACCCAAATCACATCTATAGGACGCACCTCTCGATGAAGGACCAAAGGAACATCACAAAAACGCTGATCACGGGAGATAGCAGCGAGTCGAGCCCGGTCCAGTCCTCCATGCGCGGCATGTTGCATGTATCGGGGTCCCAGTGGTCGGAAGCAGGGGCATCAAAGAACGTAGGCAGAGGTCCGACCTGACAATATTGGATTATTGGAGTAGGAGCAAATGGCAAAGGCCAGGGGAAGCGTTCGACGAAAGGATCAGTTTTATACGATGGTTTGAGCGGAGTGGCAGAGAGCGTTAACGCACGCGACGACTGCACCTTACGGAGATGTGTGCTGTCTCACAGGCATCATGTTCTTGTTCGCTGGACCAAGGTGGAAAGCTTGGCATGGGTCGGGAGAACAACATAGGGAATGTAGATCGCTCGATTCATCGAAACGCCCCTTTCTCTCACAAACATGCACGTTTGCCGACAGATTGTTGGTTACGTTTTTAGTCCTGTCAAGAAACGGACGCATTTTCTGTTTGTCAGTCGGCTAACGCGGCCAATCCACATCAAAGTCACAATAAAGTGCACGCACACCTCCAGGCCGTTCGATGAAGGCGGTTAAAGCAAGCAGACAACTTCACGGCCTCCGGGTGCCCCGACAGTAAAGCTGAAACCGAACAAACGTCCAGACAACGAGGAGAAATGGCATAGTGGGACATTGACGCCTGTAGCGTGTGCTTCGTGCTTACCTCGCCGGGGCCGTAGTCGAAGTTGAATTCACCGTGCGGGATGGCGAGGAGGCCATCCTTGGGCAAGGCAAACTCCAGGATAGCGCGAAGGATGGAGCCGAACAGGACGGCCGCGAGAGCCCCTCCAGGAGTCACCTATTGGTTGACGGTGGCGTTGTCATTGGTGGTGTGTTACTTCCCACCCCATGACAGTTCTCGTGTCTATTCCTTGAATTGCCACATCCGGGGAACTTCAACGGTCTTGGTGTGGTATGGTACGGGCATGGTATGGAATGGTCACAAGCTAGAAAAAACTTGGCCCAAGTCGGCCAGCGTAGATAAGTCTAGACGATGAACAGGCGCACGAGTACACACAAATGCTTGAACTCATCCTCGATCGCAGTGTTGACTCAACGACGACACCGGCATCCAAGGACGGTTAAGCGATAGACCTGAGGGTGGGATAGAGGGGTAGACACGCCCCAACGGGGTGTATCGCACAAAGTGCACGCTTGGTGCTGTCGCGGCAACTGCCCGTGACCACACATGTGATTGTGCAATACCAGATCCCGTTGTGCTGATGCTCGTTCGCTTACCGACTTCTTGAAGTAGATCGCGGCAAAGAGGGGGGCGATGCATCCAGCGAGCACGATGTCGAAGGCCACGATCAGTAGGTCTGCGCACAAAAGCGTCACGATCGTTGAGAAAACGCCCATCAGTTCGATCAAACGCCGCGCCAGCATCATCGTATCGATTTCATCGTCCGCTTTAGTAACAGCATCCTATGTTCCCAACAACAGCAGCAACAACATGGCAGCGATTGTGAGTGTCGCTCTTGTTTGACGAGCTTAACACCAACGGGTATCATCAAACTTTACGTTTGGAGCCTTAGATTTGTGTACCATCATCAACGCGTGCCAGTGCTTCCTCTTGCGTTCAACTCAATTTCTCACGGGAAACGAAAGCCCGGCATACTCCCTTACCCACCACGCTTCAGTATCAAGGGCTTTACCGCAATTACACGACCAAGAGCAGGGGCAGGGGGACAGAAAAACAGCCGAAGAACGTGATTGTTTGACTCACATCCAGTCTCATTGTATGTTGAGGCCACGATACAAGCAATCAAGGTTACGGGGATTATGCTGACGCGCACGATCGTGAGCAGCTTGATGTCACTGAACCGATCACCTCCGGGAATGGCCTGGACAATACAAAGGGATACACAAGGGGATATGGCGACGACCAAGTTGGTGCTCAGGGTACACAACGAAGAACACACAGAATGGTGATATCGTTAGGCAACATGAGCAGGCCGGACACGACGCCGGGAGAATCGGATGGTTTTTACCTGCAAATCGCGAGTTTACTCTTATATGCTACATTCATGGTGCCTACCATTCGGCATCACCCATGGATAATGAAAAAATGCATTGTTCCACGACGACTTAAGGTAGTGCCTGACAACAGCAGTTGTTGCCTTGAGGTCAAGGACGATACTCATTGAACGAGGGTACCGTTGAAACCACTAGCAATCGTAACTCGATAGCCTGGGTGTGTTGCCCTTGATCTACCTTACGCGCGATGTTGTGCGAGAGGACGGTGGAGATGGCGAGAATAGCACCGTCGGACGTCGACATCGAAGCTGCGCAGATACCGATCAGCACCCAGCATCCAAGGAAGGTCGGCAGCTGTTTCGTGCGTCGTGCAATCACGTACATGGGGGCGGGCGGGTGCCGGGCTTGTCAAGAGTTCCTCGGGTGTTGAAGGTGAGGGTGGTCCTCAGCGTCACGTGGCGGTGTGTTTTGTAGGGGGGACGCGTGCGTCCAAGTGTATGTGATCAGCGCATGGCTTTGAAAGTCCATCACTTCCCTTGCCCATCACACACGCAACAAACAGACCACCCAATAAACAGCCTAGACTACAAGCGAACCTGTTTCACTCCCCAACCACACCGAATCTACCGGGCCTAGCGTAACTGGCAACCCCACCCCCTGAACACCTGCACAAAACAAGACGAACCTACAAGCCTGAGATTTAGGAATATTCCATGTCATTCTAGTGTAGTGCTTTCGGCATTCCAGCATCCACGCCTAACCCTGACCTGTGTAGTGGTGAGCTTGAGGAAGGCGGTGGTGTCAGGTTCCCAGGCAGCGCAAGTGGGAAGGTCTAGGAACTTGGAGCACGTGTCGACCTGGCATGCAAGCATCGGCAAAAGGGCGGCAACATCGAATATTTAGAGGTGTGGTAGACTTCAAAATCGGGTAGACATGGAAAAGGATTATCATGTCATTCGAAGATTGATCCTTTCGGTTCATGGAACGGGCAATTACGATGTACTGGCAATTAAAGTGCGATCATACCTCTGGATTCATTCAGTGAAGAGATACGATTGGTTGGATTGGTGAAGTGGTGAAACAAGTACCATTTCCAAGCGTTGAGTTAGGCGTCACGTGACTGGACCGGTTGGCTTACCGTAAAGGACGCGAACTGGCTGTCAGGGCCGTAGTTGAGACGGGTGTAGCCACCCATGAAAGAGAAGGTGATGCCCACGATGAACGTCAATCCAGCAGCGATGAAGTTACCCATAGTGGCAATCGTGGGTGATTTGGCAGCCATGCAACGAGCCTGCGCATAGACGTCAACAGGAACCAGAGAGAGATTCGTCGCCAACGTACATCTTCAATAGGGGGCCGGCGGAGGACGGCAGATGGGTCGGCGATGCGAAACTTTGATTTCACGTTGTCCCTAGAGCCATCAGATTTTAGAAAGGAAGCCATGCTACTACGCCAATGTCACGACGAACAATATGGTAGTGTTCAATTCCACACGCCCTACTGCACACCAACGATATCGGAAGGCGTAGTCATCGGATCTGGCACGTATTTATGAAACACGCAGGCCATGTCTTAAGGAGGTGCTCCGCGGAGACGCGCGCATTCGTTTTGGCCGGCCCACAGCGCGGTCAACGGGCAATGAAAATGAAACGCAACATCACACCCTCATCGAGCGAGGTGACAGCGTTGGGTGAAAAGTTCAGCACCTCATCACCGCTTATCATGTCCGCTCGTCGTGCAAGTCATCGAACTGCAGAGCTCTAATCTAGAGTCACAACACAATCGTCCACAGGGCAACCGTTCATTCGTCACTACTTTAAGGCGGAGAACGTTGAGTAGTGCTGTGCCTCAGGTGCATACTCGCGGCCAAACGCCACAGGTAGAAAAGAACGGCGGCACATCATACCTTCCGAGATTCGTATTCCCAATCTAGCTGCTATTTCGAAGGCGTGCGGGGCCACTGGCTAGACCAAAATTCGAGGGTGCGAAGCGATACACCGACGTAGACGATAGGAGGCGAACCTGAACAACCTACGAGGGACGGGGAGGTGCCGCGCGGCAACTACGTGCTTCCATGGAGAGTCCATGCGAAACACACATACACCGAAAGAAACGCAAGAAACATAGTACTGTAGGTTCCAAAGTGCTTCGAGTGCGTGCGCGTGGGCGAAGACGGTCTGGAAGTTTGACCGCAGACATGGGGAAAGATGAAGACGGGCACAAACACAAAACAACACAAATGTGGGCAATCATACGTGTGACGCAATGTACCTGGAAGTCAAGTGCAGCGAGGTTGCCGAACCCAAGCACGAAGATAGTGGCCCAGTTGAAGAGAATGGCGTTGGGGAATGGGTTGTAGGCATCGATGTCCATCATGCCGTCCTTGAACACCTGAGGCACGCAACGGGAAACAGCATTGGTACGCAGCGAACGAGGGCATGCCGGTACCTGGAACCTGCCGACACACACCAAACGAAAAGCGGATTCCAATCCGCGATCTAGCCAGGGCAAGGCAGGTAGTGTACCAGGCAGAAAATAGTGCGCTGATGAGGGTTTCGGAGCTCCAAAACGATCAAACGCAAATGGAAGTCGTACGCTGGTAGCTTCTCCAAACCGACAGCAATCACCCACCACCGGCTCTAACGACTTTCGTTGGCGGTAACCAACCGAACGCAGACATGTTGGATTTGTGACGTACGGCTTTGTCTCCGAAGGGGTAGGCGCCATTGTCCATGCCGTCGGGCCCCCAGACGTCCTCGTTGTACATGCATGCCCCCTCTGTGTACACGGCGGGCACCCCCTTTTGCGTGAGATGAGGCAGATCCCAAAACGTGGACGAAAAAGAGCGGACAAGAGCATCGAAAGGGTATTGGTACGAATCAAGGGCGGGACCCGCGCGGTGCTACTGCCACGCACCCCAGCCTTTCTCCCTTACCGTGCTCGGAGTCCTCCCTCTACAAAACACACCTCGTAGGCCTCGCACGTGGCGTCATCGGGGTAGAGGTAACCGGGGAAGCCAATGCTCGGCCCGGGGTGGTCGGGGCTCCTGTTGCTTAGCATCCAGGCGGAGGTGGTCAAGAGTCCGATAAGGCCAAGAGAGGCCTGTGCAACATCTGAGGTTTTTTTCCATGATAATACATACAGAGTAGCGACACAAGCAGACGCGAAGTTCGGGATATCTGACAACGGCATGCGCAGTCGAGAGAGATTAAAGGGGACGTTGTATGCATGCGATGCGCGTTTGGGGGTGTTGGACATGAGGTTGGATGCGCGTGAGTGGAAGCAAGCTTGTGGCGATGAAAAGGGTCCGGGGGCGAGTGAGTGGGACGGCAAGACTGTCATGGAGAACTGTCAAGGTCAAGGCAACGGTCGGTGCGGCGTGGAGATCGGCCGGAGCACGGGCATAACTTGCCGTGGACGTTGTACACCCTTGCGCTAACATGGAGCATGCCTGCGACCTGCTTCGTCGACAGGTATTGCGGAGAGTCAACAAGCCTGCATCCGTCCATTTTTCGCCTCGACCGGCTCATTATCTTGGCGACTTTGTTATGAGGAAATAGAGCAGGGAGGGGGTACCCAGACCCTACCCCGTTCCCTAACCCTAACCCAAATTCCCCGGTTACACGCATTATCCAAAAGATGGTTACTTTGTACGAAACCCCTGCAAAGGGTACCGGAAAAAAACGCACCCGTGTAGGCGACGGAAAGGAGGCCGCCGGCACCCGTGTAGATCATGGTGACAATGCCAGCGATGAACACGCTCGTTGCGAGCTCCCCGCCGAACAGGAAGCGGATGATGATCGACAGGCCCACCTGTTTGGTCGACAAGTACATAACCGGTAGCGAACTTGATGGAGATGGACAGCAAAAAGAGCAAGAACTCAACCGTACGAGGTGGGAGCACTCGCGGGGTTGAAGAACCTCACACGACGCAGTTAGAGCACTCACCAGGTTTCCCGCGAGGAGGCAGATGAAAGAGATACACGTCAAAAGGGATACCAGCACTTCCACGGCGGGGCCCCAGGCCTTCCCGTAAAAGTCAGGCAGAGTGAGGCATTGGGCCTGTTCGAGTGGGAACACAACGACGTTGAGGTTGGGGGTCAGGAATATCAGAGGATACCGTCGTACGGTCAGCCAGGCGTGATTGGATACACTTCTCGCTCGCGCCACATACATCGCGAGAGGGGCATGGGCAGAAAACACTTTGTTTTGTTGAGAACCTCTGGCTGGTCACTCCCAATGGCATCAGCTTGCACCCAGGCGACACCACCACTCTACTTCGCACAGCCGACTCCCCACGCAACCGACTAATTGAAAAATACCCAATCGTGCCGCCACACAGCAGTAGCGAAACACAAAAACAAGTGAAAGCAGGCGTTAAGCCCCTATTTCTGTACGTTGCACCTCGTTGATGTGGCGCGCAATGAAGAGGCCGTTGATGACCAGGCTAAGACCAAGTCCCATTGGAAGGACAGCCCCATCCCAGTAGCTGGAATGAGTTGGGGTTGCACACATCAGTAGGGGTTGAGAGACGGGCGTCGATGTCACTCGCTGTAACAGCGGAACAACCTTGCCCAGTACGGGCGGTAGAGAATACGGCAGTTGCAGTGCGTTTACGGCAAATGAGAAAAGCTCGAAATACCTACTTGTCAGGTGTGGTGCCTGCGAACGTGACACCGTAAAACACCAAACAAAGATCACCCTCCGCTTTCGTCACGAACGCACACGCGCTAACATGTAATACAGCAACCATGGATTCTGTCGGATGGAAGCGCAAGACGCTTCTGGTGCGCTGCCCTCCATACGACGTTTCACGGCATTTACAACAGCCGCCGAAACGCTGACAGTGGTACTCGGGGCACCCACAGCAAGGAATACCGTGGTGGAGGTTCCAGCGACCTAACGTTTGTGGCGCAATCACCTGAAGGTGACACACAAGAGGTGCGAATGCATGCCACATGTTTCTGTCTGCGCGGACAAGGCAAGCAAACTATACGGTAGCCCACCTGTTGTGGTCGAAAACTTTACAACAACGAGCGGCTCTCACGAAAGCCAGCTTTCACGACAACCGCGACAACACCGCGCGCCATGACCACCCGGGAAAGCGGTTTAGCATACACCGCGGAGACCTGCTACGCTGGAAACGAGGTTGCATGTCTCACTGGCACTTGTGGACAGTCGGCATTGGACTGTTTGCATCAACCGGCATCGTGTTCTCGCAAACGTCATGGTGAAGAACCACGTGCGAGCTGGAAAAAGATGCGCAAAGGGCCCTGACTGGCAAACGATTGAGATTCGGCCGTGGGTCTCACTGGAATTTGTAGGCGAGGTCGGCGTTGCCGAGGGTGGCGTTGGAGTCGATACTTTGGGAGGCGAGAGTAAGCGCAATGACGAAGAGGGGCAAGCTCCGACCTCCCACGAAGAAGTTCTCCACCTGAAAATATGATCGCAGAGTAAGGGAACCAATCACATCGACGGCGGCGGAGCAGTAGAACGCAAACGTTATGTCGCACGGAGGGGATCTCCAGCAGTAAGATAGTTGGCGAGTCGACTATGTGCTACCATTGGATTTTCAGGTTACGACCAAGTAAGAGTCAAAATCAAGGAGCAGATAGATATCACCTCCAGCTTCTCGCAACGTTTCACGCGTGCAAGGATAGCTGTTGTGTTGTTTGGACTAGACTACACCGTTCGGTACAATTTTTGACGCACCAGGTCAAATAGGAGCAACCCCGTGCCGGAAATGTTTTCTCCGCCTTCCCTCTGCGGTGCTTGCCTCAATACAATGTAGTGTACACACGCTCGGCTTCTTCCTGTGCGGGTCCATGTTGCCTTTTGCGTTTTGGAAGGGTGCACACATGCAGAGCCCTACTCCGCTCGTTGCTTGTTTGGGCGTGATATCGGTCGTTTGGCCCAAGTATCGATATCGAGTCACTCTCTTTACAGTAGACACCCCAACGACGCTTGGTCAGGCACAAAGTTTCGACAACGATAGAGGAGATTGTTGTTTGGTTGCCTTTTAACCTCCTCTGTCCTTCCTCTGTGCCGCGCGCGCGCCCAGGACGTGGAGGCTTGTGCGTTTTCAGTCGGTAGGGGATGCGCTTTTCCTTCAAGCCTGAGTGTCAAGGGGGCCCTCGATATGGAAATAATGGAACACCCCCCCCTCGCCCCCCCCGGTGTTTGCCATCGGGGTCGGCTTTTCGTCGCTTGGCAGCAATGTTGTGTAACAAGCTTCGTGAGCGCAGCAACCAGGTTGCCGTTGATTTTTTTTTGCATTTAGTTTTTTTTTGCGTCAACCATGAATGGTGGAGGAGTAGATTACCGTAAATGGCACGAGATGACACCTACATAGAAACCACACCCCCCACAGAATATGACACCCCGGTAATATTGTTGTGCGTTTCTGACAAACCATCGATTTTTGTACCGGGGATACACGAGATAACACACCCCGGTGATAGATTAAGGTTACGCCGCATATGTTCAAGGGCCCCCTCCTTCTTTCACCGGGGCATTTGCCGTGCTGCCCCTGGGCATCACATACAACACACACCCTCTGTGTGCGGAAACCCGCCCGCATGGAGACCTCCAACAATATTAACGTGCAGGAAGAAGAGCAGACTGCCGCCGCAAGTACCTGCGCTGCTTCCACAACTGCTTCGACCGCAGCAGCACAGGCCCAACCTATCATCTCGTTCTTTCAACCCGTGCAAACTTCTTCTAAGCAAGCGGCTTCTGTTACGGCTCCTCCTGCTGCTGTTGATCTAACCACAGCAGCAGCTGGCAAAGCAACTGGCGCCAACATGGCAGCCACCGCCTCGCCTCACCAGCAGCCAGTTACTGACTCGCTCTCAGCAGCACGTAAGAGTACCGCAGACGAGTCAACACTCACCACCGACGCCTCCCAGCTGGCGTTGGTGGACACCCCCTCATTATCACCCCAAACACACCCTGTGATGTTCGGACGTGCCATCACACCCCCTCATTTATCACCCCCCCAAACGCACACTGTGGGTGCTCGAATCGCTATCAAACACCCCGGTTTATCACACCCCCCTGGGGGCCCCTGGGAGGTGCACTTTATCACCCGGGGTACGTAAGATACCACACACCCCACAGGATGCCACAACCGGCGATGATTTTTTCACCCCAAAAGGTTATCGCCGGGGTGTGCTGTCTTGTGTCATTTTCGGGATGTTGTGCGGGGTCGTCTCACTCCGCGCAAAGGGGACGATCACACGTTGTGTTTAATTGGCCAAGCACCCTCGAGGCAGTCACAAGTGCTTATAACTGTCTCTGGAAGTCAAGACACGAGAAAATATATCAAGTCATACGCAGCTGTCATCCTTTCGCAAGGAAGTAAGCACAACAAGATGCCGAACACCCTTCCTTGGCAGGATGCAGCGCACCCTTCATGCGACTCACCGAACATCTCACGGCGCTTCGCGCTTGGTAATGTGAGAGCCCGGTCCGGTGAGAACCCGGCGTGCTCCGTCCCGGCTTTGTAGGGATGCGAGGTCGACGGTCTAACGACTACGGCGTGCACGACTATGAGTACATCTCCCCCTCCCCCCCCCCCCCCCCCCCCGCGGGCCAAAATTGACACGCAGGATAGCCACTGTACGCGGCACACTTGGAGCAGTCTACTGCTGTACAGGATTTAGTGTTCCCGTCGTAAAACCAATATACTCCTCATTGTATAGGCTTTGGTGCCGCGTTCTATCCTCCAGACCCACCCCCTCCTCGCGACCAAAATTGACGCGTAGCCTGGGGGTGTTCCGTATTTCCCACCAGCTCTGTGTGGGATCCCGCGCGCGCACGCGAAAAAATCGCGCGAAAAATGTCGAAACCCAAGGATTTGGTCACAATCTCTCCCGCCCGGGAACATGTAAGCCCTCTTCCCCCCCCTCCCCTGCCCGGTGACCAAGATTGACGCGTAAAAACGGGGTGTTCCATTGTTTCCATATGAAGGGCCCCTTGTGGGTGTTTAGTCTGGAGTTGTGTGTACATACATCACATACATTAAAAGCTTTTTTCAATCGAAATTTGAGTATATAAAAAATTGCGCGGGCGTCAAGACGCCGAGAACAGGCGAACAAGATCGACCTCAAACCAGTCAACGCCAATGATGCGGGGATGGAGTGTAGACGCATCGTAGAATGCGTTTTCGTTTGAAGTTGGCGTCTTGTTTGAGAGTAGATGTGACAGATTTGCGTAGAATGGGTAAGATGTTATCATGAACGTAGAAGAAAGGGCTTTTCCAACACGGAGATGTAGCATGGATCAAAGCATTTGTTGGATTTCAGCTTTTACAAGAGGACATCAACGCAGTAGTATTTTAGCAAGCTTACGAACGCAGATAGGATAGTCTCTACCATGAGGATTGTCATTGGTTTTATTTCAAGTTGAAGAGGAGATATTTTTACGATGTAAGTGACGGTAGAAATAAGTCCTACATATGTTGTTGTACTTCGTATTGGTTTAATATTCATGTAGAGTATGAGACATTAAGTGAAAGTTTTCTGAGGTACATCTGCAATTGTCGGAAGGCAAAAAATACATAAAAAAAGACTACGAATAAGCACTAATTTAGCCACCGCATACACACCGTGCGTCATGAGGGGGGGAGAGGGAGCACATCGATTGTCTGTGAAATGAGACATGACAGATAAAAACAACACAACCAACTGTAGGTTGCCACTGACCTTGCCCTTGATGAGGAATATGGTGGCGACACCGATGGACACGAAGAACGCGATAGACACGATCACGGCCACCTAGAAAAAACATGCAACGGTGGGGGTGCGGTTTCCTCATCACAGAGTTGTATATTCTAGATGGAGAGGAACGGACGTGGGAGCACGATTATTACAACTACCACCCAACATCTTCCTTCAACACCTTAGCATAACATACAGATAGATACACAAGACGGCAACTGTCTTGTTGACTGGTTACCCACGGGGGAGATATCAGTGTTGTGTGCTGCTTGGGAAATCGTGGAAAAACAGATCTTGTGTTGACAAAAGTATTGATTCATTGCTTATCTATCTTATTATCGACTCTTCTTTATAGAGAGGGATGAATTCGTTGGGTCAAACTGATGAAATAACAAAAAAAGTACATGATGAGCTTGTCCTCTTCAACATGTCGTCTATGTAGAAAAGGGATGGTACGCTTTAGAGGAACTACGGGGCTAGGCTAGATAATTTTATGGTAGTATGCACTCTTCGTGATTGTCTTTGGTAGACTAGTGGATTGACAATGAAAGAAAGGTCCAACTCACCACGGAGGGTATCCGCATCAGTTGGACGGTTCGGATCAGAAGGTGCCAGAAGGTGATGAACAGCGGGGCCGAACGGTTTTCGGTAAAGTTATTGGAAGAAAACTTTACGGCGGTCTAGTGTTAACCCTCGGAGGCTGCTACAATACGGGCCAGGTCATGGGTTCGAGTCCCGGCAGAGTGAGTTTATTCTCCTTAAATAAATCCTGGTCTAGGATGAAAGCGACGCGGTGCAAAGCTCGTTACAGCAGCAGTAAACTACCTGCCGAACCCTTAACCAAGTGATTCGTGAGCGGGACACGCGGTAGCGGCAGCAGCAGCAACAGCAGCCAAAACAGCTATAGCGGGACACAGGAGGGGGATAGGTCACCATCGCAAAGCCCTACTCGAGGTATTGATCTATCCTCACGCCGACACATAAAACTCTGGAACGAAAAAAAGTTGCAAGAGACAACTCACCCCGTAGACCTCGACCAGATCAGCTTTAGGTATCCACTCTGCTGGGCACGGAAGCCCGCAGGTGTCGAGTTGATCGCACGTATCAGACATTATCACTGCTGCTTCGCTGTTGCGGCTGCTCCTCTTAATGGTTCCGCTCCAGCTGCTGCCGTTGCTGCAGGGAGTGCCAGTCTGGGATCCTTCAGGTCGGCAAGTCGGGGCAAAGAGAGATCAGAGCAAATATCTTCCCAAGCAAGGGAGAGTTGGTGATGTCACGCCATCTCCCCACTATTTTTTTTTTTTATTCACTTCAAAGCAGCGCTCACAGCACTGGTGTCGTTTAGTCCAACCCGTGGTCACACAGAAGAGCCCCTCCCTACTCTCCCCTCCTGCGGTACGATGCCTTCGATTTTTAGTGCGAGAAGAGTTCAGCACTCTCTTCCCTCTGTGTACACGCGAACTAGCGCTATCCTCTAGGCCAGGAGCGGAAGCGAGAGAAAAACTCACATTATTGCAAGACAAGCTCGCTTACGCCGGGATTCGGACCCCTGACCTGATCTCTAGTAGAAGATTTCGAGGTTACCAGCTAGACCACCGGGGCGTCCAATTGCCATGTACCGAACATACCGCTGTGGATTCTAAGACATCCTAAAAAGAGCCGGAGGAGCCCAGAGGAAGAGGGAACCATCTGGTGGGTCACGGTACCATTGACCGCTCTCCTTGATATATTGTTTCTACGTGAACACCATGACACTACTATGTCCTCATGGTGTTCAAATTTGAATTCGCTCGCGTCGGCATGATTAATAGAACAGTTTTGACATACGTAGTCTATATGGTCGATGCCCCCGGGTTTCGAAGCGTGACAGCACTTTTCGGACACATCATGGTTGAGAGTACGCATACGTTGCATACTCGCATCCTAGGCTGCTGCAGGCGGGGGTTGCTGCGGTAGCGCAGGAGAGAGATCGAGAGAGGACGAGGGGTGCCACATCGAAGGGGACAGAGAGGAGAGGGCTAGCCGTGAGCACAAGAAAACAAAGGGGGTTAACCAAACCACAGCGTCGTGTGTTTGTGGGAAGGTACGCAAAACTCTCATGTGCGCACACAAACGTTTGCTGTATGCTGGAGCTACAGCATCTGTGTCGACTTTGCCGCGAACTACATGTATGCCTATGCAACGGACTGTATCAAGTAAACGAGTGCGGGCACCGGCATAGCGCCTGCACTACAGCAATAGTAGCGAAAGCTGTGTTGCGCGCGAGGCCTCGTTCGCGTAGACTAGTCTTGAGTGAGAATTGCTATCACAGGATGCCAGATAACAAGCAATGTCCACCATGTCTGCCGTCTCCACCGCGACTTGCGAGACGAGGCTGCTAATAGTATGTTGTTGTCTGTGTACGCGGCCGATAATCATATTCCGATTCATTGTTGAGGATGAGAAAAAAGAGTTGGATATGCCCAACTTGTACGGCAGTACTACTGCTGTGTTACTGACGTTTCTAGTCCCTGCCGGAGACAGAGGCCGGTACTCTTGCAGTATTCTCCCACTGCCAAGGGTGGCTATTTCCTTTCGTGAGATGTAGCGAGGAGAGGAAGGTAGAAAAAGGGTGACCAGAGGGTCGAGAGAGGAGAACCGGAGGCTCCCCATCTCGTTCCTCGGCAATCGGCCATGGACTTCGGAAGAGAAGAATCTCCTCCGTGTTTTAGTGTTTTACTGGCCACTTCTCCCGATGGCAAGTTACCCCGAGGCATCATATCTTCCTATCTTAAGTGCACAAATGGTTGATAATTAATTCCGACACGTTTCCTCCACATTACTGCTGCTGTAGTAAGCCGAACTCAACAGCCCCGTGTATGTGTGTCTTTTGACGATGAACGACAAACAACTTCTTTGATTGACTACAGGCAGAGTAGCATGGTATTTTTGAAAAGGGCACCAGAAGTTGCACAACAGACACACAAGACCAGTCGGAAGGCATCGTTGATTCTCGCACTGGGCGGCAGTATAGGGGCTGCTCGAAACATGCATTTCACGCGTCCACCTCCTCATCATGTGTTCTTTGAAATCAAGTTAAAAATCCACTCGTTTATCTAAAATATCCAAGCCAATACGGCAGGCACTCAAATACGACCGTCTGCACACTGAACAGAAGGGCATACGCGTCGTCATAAAGCCTTATCCTTGGATGACGTCACGTCAAAGCATCCGAAGACGCCAAGAAAACATGGTAAACCACCATCACATGTCTACCTCAACATACCATAACGATCTCCGCAAATCTCCACTATTTCGACCGACACCCTGTGTCTTGCACTGCTTGGGCTCGCCGCCCACGAACCCATCCCCTGAACTGTAGGTTTACAGCGGTAGCTGATGCCACTATAATAGCTACTTGCAGATAGCCCTCCGTTCAGGGGTTTACCGTCTGTGGCGGTGAGCACGGCTGTCACAAATGTGGACTCCGTCTGGTTCCAGCGCAAATTTCGGACTGTTTTCAGAAGCTGCTGCGACCTTCGATATTTCAGCCCCAGTATTTAGCAAGCCTAAACCTGCCAGCACGCACGACGCTTCCTCACGGTGTCCTCCACTGACAATAGTCCTAATTACCACGTTCCTCCAGCGGGAATGTTGCCTTCTTTCTGTATATGGGATTAAAGTAAAATGATAGAGCTAGTGTCAATATCACTTGTCTGTTCCCCCTTAGCTCCTTTGGTATTTTTTATTTTATCTTTTCACTTCACATCATCGCGTACAGCACCTGTGCCGTTTACTCCAACCCGTGGTCACAAAGAAGGACAACTCTCCCTGAGTTGCCCTACGCACCCCACCTGCGGTACTTTGCTTTCGATATGTTATGCGAAAAGAGTGCAGCACTCTCTTGCCTCCGTGTACACACGAACAATGTACATGGCGCTTTCCAGGCCTGGAACGGAAGCGAGAGAAAACTCACTTTGCAAGAATAGCTTGCTTACGCCGGATTCGAACCCCTGACCCTGACCAATAGAGGGTTTTCGAGGAAACTAAGTAGACTGCCGGGGCGACCGGTGTTTTTGGGTCTAGGCTAGGCTATTCATCGGCCCACCAAAGGCTGGACTGTCAGCCGTTACTTGATATTTCGCCCAGAAAAAAAGAGGGACGGGGGAGAGAGAGCGTGAGAGCGAGACAAGTGCGGAGAAAAGAGATAGACAGGTGTGCGCTTCTGCGCATAGCTATCTCCGCCAATAGGCCATGAGGGCAGCCCGCGACAGCATGCTGGCCGCAGACAGGGCCCGGTACCTTTACACCGCCGTTTTTTGTTTTAATAGCCTCGGCCAGGGTCGTAAGCACCTCCGAAAAATGTTCCAGTTGGGCCGATCGGTCTGGCGGGCAGACGGGTGGCCTTAGGCAGGCGGGCGGCCGTGGGCCGCCGTCGTCGATCACGCCACCGTCGTCGATCACGCCGCCGTCGTCTCGTCGTTCGCCGCCGCTGGGATTGGGTCAGTCGGTCGGTCGGTCGGTCGGTCGGTCGGTCGGTCGATCGGGAGGCCTGGTTCATACAAACTTCTTCGTGGTCGCTCGGTCGGCTCCTACCCGTGACCTCTGTCTACTTGGCTGTCGTCTCGGTGCAGTGTCCAATGATATCCATCGTGGCAAGAGTGTTTTTGCGGGTTGTCCTGTGCGTTACTGCTTGGGGATGGCTTTGGTTGTGCGTGTTGGTTACAAACATCGCCTAGCGGGCATGTTTCGGTCGTTCTGTTGGATTTACTCGAGCTTTGGGTGTTTTCGTTGATGGTCTGGTGTAGGGTTCGTCTCCGCCCGACCGTGTCGGCTTGGGTTGGGGGTCGGGGTTGACAGAGTTTGGTTGGGATTGGGTTGGGGTTGTCATTGGGCGAGTCAGGTTGGGCGAGTTGGGTAGGGTGGGGTAGGATTGGGTTGGGTTGGGATAGATCCGTCGGTCGGTCGGGTGGCCTTGGGCCACATTGTTCGTCGATCGCGCCGCCCTTCGTCGCCTTCGGTTGCCCTTGTTGTAAATGTTGTCATGACATAAAAGATTGAAGCTCGTTCCAGGGAGTTTGTTACGCTCATGAGTATGGAGTTGGAGCAGTTCTGGTATGCATACAACACTGCTGCATTTTCTCAGGTAGCGGACAAGTGTTCCGCATGCACCACGTGTAGCCCGACGAGGCGATCACGAATGTTTTTGCTTCAAGTTATCACAAAAAACGTGAAAGTATTGTTGTTGTAGTTGATAAATGAGCAAATACATCACATGGCATGTACCTACACGCGACTTCCGACAACCAGTGCACTTGTAAGGTTTTTTTTTCGCACCCATAACCAACTCAGAGAGACTGTATTACAGACTGTATTACAGAGCCTGAACTTGCCTTTGTGCAAGACCACCTCTTGTCTGCAGTGTACATGCCTTCTTGGATACGACGCGTGATTCTATTCCACCCGGCTCTTCTTTTCACAACTCCGTCTGTTTCCCGCTCGGCCGTTCTCTCTCGCATTTGTTCTTGTGTCGCTGCAGTGGGATGCCACAGCAACCACTGCCGAAAATCCTGTGACAAGCAAAGGGACTGGCAGGTTGTTTGTGTTGCACGAGAAGACGTAATCTTTCGGCGTATTTGTTTATTTGTGTTGTAGAATCTTTTGTTGTGTTGCTTTGTCGAAACGTAGTCGTTCTCTAGAACGACGTCCGTCAGTCGGAAGGTGAGGATGAACGTCATCAAGGAAGCGTACGCGAGACACCCGGGGTTGTTTCAGAGCGTTGTGGGCTACGGTGTCTTCGCCTCTGGCGATGTAATGGCTCAGCGGCTGGCCGATCCTGACCTGGAGTGGGATCACCGGCGTTCGTTATCGATCGGTCTCCTCGGCGTTGTGCAGAACGGCTTCTTGCTGAGGGTATGGTACCGCACCCTCGACAAGTTCGTCACGCCCCAGGTGTGTGTGTGGATGAAGGGGTTATCCTGAAACACGATTGCGCTGCTGCTGCAGACAAGTGGCGGGTGTTCAGGTTAGGTTGGTGTGCACCGGAAGTAGATAATCGTGCGAAAAGGCAAGCCAGTGCAAATGCTATTAGAGAAAATAAAAAACACCTTAAGCACATGGTGTATGTGTGAACATGCTGGTGTGTTCATGCATCCGACCCTCCTTGTCGTTTGGTCAAGCTGAATGATTTAGTCGCTTCAGCTATTGGTTCATCATGAAAACCTTTTGACGTAGTTTCGCTTATTCAGCAAACGCATGTGCGACGACAGAACGACTTGTCTATTGGCATTCTGTGTCGTTTGGTTGGGTTGATATCTCCCCCATCTCGCTCTCGTGACATGCCAGCTCGTGCCACCTGCACCTTTTGCTTACGTCGGGGTGGAGTCCCTACAGAAATGGTGGTCTCCCGTCCTCACAGCCTGGGCGATAAAACTTATTTTCAGTCTCAGGGCTCTCTCTCTCTCTCTCTCTCTCTCTCTCTCTCTCTCTCTCTCTCTCTCTCTCTCTCTCTCTCCCTGTTAGCCTTGTCCAGTGTAGTTACCCTTGTAGGTTAAACGCCGGGTGAGGCAAAAACAAAATCGTTGACGAAGGAAAAAAATAAGATGGAGCAAGGCCTTCGTGTCGCATTTAAAAGGCAATATTACCATGGTGATATACGTACGGGGAGGCAGTGTCGCTTAGCGACGTGGGTTCATATGCGCTAGGTGCCCCGTGCTTTATCTCCTGACCACAAAATCGAGGCAGCGAATAGCTACGCGGACGACCCCAGATGTCGACACATTGCTGTACGAGATCCTCCACTTTCCTAAAAAAACACAAAGCAGTTAAAATAAACAAACCCCCCGTATTCAACCCTTTATTGCTACCTGCGGCTGTATTGTGGAGATTGTCGTCGGGTGCACGACACAACAACGTTTGACAGCTACAAACAGCCTTCGAAATATACAAGATGCGAGTGACAGACTGCAGCCTGCAAAGCTTTATTTGGTCCCAAGAAGCAGCCTATGCCACGAATGTTTTTTTCGGCTTAACTATTGTACCGCGTGACAAGCAAGTAGTTTTGTCACTGCCGTGACTCAATTGTTTGTTTCCTACTGTGGTTGTCTTGATCGAACTTCATCGTGCAGACCGATCTCAAGAGCGTGCTGAAGAAGATTGCGTACGACGAGGCTGTGTTTGCCCCGCAGCTTGCTTGCTCCTACCTCGCGACGTCGGCATACATCCAGAGCCCGGGAAATTGGGAAGCTGTCGGCGAAAATATCAAGGGCAAGGTGAGAGAAGGAAGGTATGACCCGGCGTAGTTTGATATTTGTCGATGTTCCCTTCATCTCGAAGCTTGGCTTGGCATCTACCTCTACCAAACATCTCAACGCAAGCGTTCTGTTCATGGCACAGGGTTACAGGCTAGGCCCTTCGGAGCTACTGCTGTTTAGCACGGTAGGGTTTCTCAAAGACCTCTCACGTGTAGCTTGGCATCCTCTGCAAATGTTAATGTTTCTTGAGTGCAGTATGGGATGTAAACGGGTTCGATTCAACTTGGGTGTGTGACATACGTTTCCATTGATATCCCTTCAGGTAAGCAGAATTCACATCGAATGCGCTGTTGGCCCAGTAGCAGTAGCTTTGACCTGATTGGAACCCTCGATGAAACCAGAGCCTGAACCTTTCGCGGAACGGAAACGAACCCCTGGTTTTGATTTTCCTGGCGTTGGACGTCAGCAAGACAAGAAAAATACCTTGCAAGGTTGCTTACCACCAGCGTGCCACGTTCTTCGTGCCCGCCCAGCGCCCTTACCCTAACCCTCACCCTCACCCACATGACACAATCGAGCGGCGTCTGCGGAAGGTTTTTCGTTGTGAGGGCAAACCCACAGCGCCACCTTACCTCGGTTTCGTGTGGTCTTGGCCAGGCATTCACGACCTGGCAGGACGACCTCAAGCTGTGGCCGATGGCCAACCTCATCGGCTTCTCGTTGGTGCCGCGGTCGATCCGTCCCCTCTACGCGAGCAGCGTGCAGCTGGTCTGGCAGTGCTACCTGAGCACGGCGGGCTTCGCAGCACCGTCCGATGGAGGCAAGGTTCCGATTGTTGCCGCTGCCGTTTAGGCCGAGTTCGCCTCGCCTATGTAGCTAACTGCCGAGGCGATTACCGATACACGCGACAAGAACGGAATCCGCATGCAAATTTTGCACACGTCGGCTTGCCACATGTGTTGGCGGGCTGCCAGTGTTTGAGCCAGGGACGTTAGGGTCGGGCTACCCGTACTCCTACCCATGACCCCGTCGTCGTGTTGTTACTATCCGCGATGTGCTGGGAATGTCGCCGTGCACGACGTCTGTTTTCGAAGGCGACCGCCGCTTGAGAATCGCCCGGAGACGATCTGTGATTGTGGGTACGAACATGGGCATGTATCTGCTACCATGATCTTGGAGGATTCCTTCACAGGAATGGCGTTATTATTGTCGCAAGCTTGGGTTTGATGAACACTCAGTTTTGGGGAGGTCGAGCGTCGGCTGATTTCATTTAGAGCCCCATTTTTCGGTCTCTTACGTCCACTCTTGCCACTGCTAGCTGTTGGTTTTGGATTTATTATTCTAGTGGCAAAAAAAAAGCTGGTGATTCACGCACATTGTCCGCTTGATGGAGTTCGTTGTCCACCGTTCGTGGTTTCATTCAGATTTTGTGACGTTTTCAATGCAATGATTTTGATGAGCGAATCTTGAATTTTTTATGACGTTGTGCTTCTTTGCGTGATTGTGTGCTCGACGACGCCACACGTTCTTTTGTTGCGTTTGGGTACACAATTTGTGAAACACGTTTCGGCAATGAATGCATATTCAGCCGTTTTCCAGTCAAAAACCACATGGTGTCGGTGACGGAAGTGTCGGATATATCGGTGTATGCAGCATGAATTGATGGGGAATGATGCGGATTGGGGAAGAGAGGGAACTGAAGTTTCGACCGTGGGTGCGCTTCCTGTGCTGGCCTGTTCTGCTGTCAATATGAGAGGATGGTTCGCTTCTTTTGAAAGCACGCAGTATGCCTCAGTCAGTTGAAGACTTGTGGCCGGGTCTGTGTAAATGTAGTACATGCGTGATTCATTGGTTCTTTTGCGTGTCCCTGTTGTTCCTTGTAGTGGGAAAGAAGGTGACAGGGAGGATGCCTTTCTCCACCCGACACCTGGTTGTGAGTGTACAACATGTCCTTCATAGCGGCGCAGCAGAGTGTGTTGCCGTCGGCTGATGGTAGCAACTCATCACATAGGGTAGTCCCACACCATATCCCTCTTGTGCTTCAAGGTTTTTGAGTCGACGATTTTCGGGCGGTGAACTTCTGTTACGTTTGTTTCGAACAGAAACTTCCCTTGGTCTCGTTTTATATCGGCGTGCTTGTCACGGGTCGTATATGTTTCCAAGTACCGGTTGGGCGCGATGTAAATGACCAAGGGATTCCCGTGTACTGTATGTCGTGGGGGGTAGCGAGGATGAGTGAGGATGGCCGTCGGCGCTTTTGTACATGTATTGACGACGCGGGTGGGGGTTGGGATGGCAGGCGAGGTGAGTCTGCCTTTTGTCTTGAGGCACTAAAGCGCTTTCAGCGAATGACTGTGAAAAATGTACAATTCATTGGATTTTGTGTTCATCTCCGTCCTCTCTCAGACGACAAACGGTCGACCAAGTCGATTGCGTACATGTCTCGCGCACCTGCTGGGGAATCAGGTCGATGCGGTTCGGCCTGGCGGAAATCTATGGCCAAGTCTTGCTTAGGGTCGGTGGTTGCTGTTGAGACGTCCAATGACATAGTCCATAAACCAAATACTTCGACCGTGGGAGGTCGATGGGTGTCGTAAGAGTTGTTGATGATGCTGATGCGAAAGAAAGCTTTGAATGAGTTGAGGGTCGAATGATCTTTGGGTTTGGTGGGGCAATATACAAGAGAAATGTTGGTGTGTATGTGGTGAAGACCAACACCTTCTGCCGTGTAAGTATCGCGATTGGAGTCTGCTAGCCTGCGGTTATTATTTCCCGAGGACTAAGTTTCGCGAATGTTTTAGTCTAGTGGAGAAAAACAGTTTTGGAGGAAAGAGGGAGAGGCGCCGGGTGGGGAGTTTCACCCTCCTCACCGGAAGAAAGTGCGTCTTGGGAGTATTTACGGGGTTGACTTGGAGGGGATGAGGCTTTCAGCAGTGATAACATATATCCGTGTACGTTCACATGAGAAAACTACCCTTTCAAGTCGTCTTTTCAAGACGTGAGGGATAACGAGAAGGCGGTCATATCCTTCTCACGCTACTGCTGTGACGTGATGATGTGAGCAAGGCTGCTTAGCAGGGTGTGGGCAAGGTCGGGGGCATTCAGGTCGCAGAAATAGCTTTTCGGGAGGGGCTTCTCACCCAACTAAACATACTTCATCTCTATCCACAGAATACATATGTGCGCTAGTGTGAGCTGCTGCCGTGTGTGTGTCGATCTACGCCGTTCGTATGGTTCGCCATCCCAATTGTTTAGCAAATACTGAATAAACCGACATTCATGAGGAAACCCACTTGTCTACAAGTGTGTGCCCCGGTCATTGAGGCGAAGGCACCAGCCATCGATTCTAAACGAAGCCACAAATTCCATGTACGGTATGCATCCAATCGGACGAGGAAAGGTAGAACCTTCCGGAGCCCACCGCGTATCCCGAATTGTCTCGTGACTGGATACCAGGCAGTTTCAGCCTGCCAACAGCGCAAATGACGTACTGTAGTAATTTGTTTACAGATACATCATCATCGGAACACTTGGCCGAAGACATGAAAAAAATTTGTCCGAAATCGGCTGGCGCTGTGACCCCCGCCTCTCCCGTGGGAAAGTAACCTCTACAGTCCTCGTCGATTTCACCAAGCCTCCGAGCGCGTCGTCATAAATTAGGCGCACAAAAACGCCCCGGCAAGTGGAATGCTGTGGGCGTGAGGGGCACCCTCGATGTCTGATGCAGTTCACGAGGTGGCCAGCATGTCTCGGAGCCGTTTTGCAGCGAGCTCATAGGCGAAGAAGCCGATCATCGACATTGGCACAGCTCGGGCAAGCTTGAGGCCGAAGCCTCGATAGAAGACCCCCATCCCGTCTACGCTAGCCATGTGCCGCGCCGTGGCCACAACTCCATCTGGCACCTTTGTCATACCGGCGGCTTGTATCCTAGTCTTGATGATGTCAAACGGGTACCCTGCAAAACCAAATGGAAGAGCGGGCCAAGATGCGGGATAGAAGTGAGAGACAGAGAAGGGTGGGGTTGGGGCTCATTTGAATCAGTCTTCGATGTCTCATCCACACCGTCGACCACGAGGTTCGTTCTTGTCGCATGAGCGGCGCGCATAACTACTGTGTTCAAAACCTACTTGTTCGACAAGGAGCGCATTCATCAGCAAATGGAAAAGGGTTGTGCAAACGATCGATTGCGTGGACAGCTACAAAACGTGGTAGTTTTGTCTGGCCGTCCAACCAAGGCTGACCAAGGCTGACCAAGGCTGACGGCTTCTTGAAGTCGATCAAACTACTTGTATGGTTTTGGATTCGTCTATCGCAATCAGAGATTACTTGGAGTTGATCAGTTTGCGTCTTGTACACATCCGCTGTGTTGAACACCAACTGTTGCTGATGGCCAAAGTTCGTTGTGTTCTTGCTGGTAGAGTCAGCACGGAGCGTGGGGGTGTCGGGCGGAGGTCGAGTTCACGGTATAAACCTTGACGGCCACCACCACCACCAACAGCAGCAGCAGCAACAACAACACGTAGCTCGGGACAGTCAAACAACAGAACGCTACGCCGGGGGAGAGGCTGCGTCGCGCCCGTTTCGGCCACACATGAGACATGAACAGAACAAACAGACATGCACGACCACGCTGTTGCGGTGCGGAGAGGGAGCAGCCGCAGGTCTCATTCCGTCAAACGAGGAGAGCCAGTGAGGGCTGACCAAGTGATTTCAATCGATCGCGGCCTTCAATCAAACCACAACATCGGGCGACCTCAAACAGAGCCAGACACCAGTGAAGGGACCGAGGGTTACGGATGGCGAGCGTTTTGGTTGTGCGCATCGACTCACCGACGAGCCAAGCGGTCGTCGCCGCGATGCCCCCCGATGCAAGCTGAGCCCCGACGCTAAGGACGCCGTTGTCGCAGGCCTTGACGCCTTCTCTTGCGGAAAACTCTTGCTTGCACCACTCGTAAGACGCAAACCACAACCCGTGTGGGAGGACATCTCTGCCCATCGTTGCCCCGAGACCCGTCGAGAGTAACCCCGATAGCCCGAAGGTGCGCACTACCCCCGTCGCCAGGGCGAAAGCGCCTCCGCCCCCGCTGCCGGTGCCGGCGGCGGCCGCGCTGAGGACGGCGCGGTCCTGTAGCTGCAGCCGCACTTTGACCAGTTCGACAGGACTCATGACGAAGCTCTACGCGAAGACAAACGGGTAGAGGAGGAAGGCAAATGGCAGGTTTTGGACTGAAGGGAGTCGTGGTTTTCGAGGTGTAGCTGCTTGACTAGGATGAGTTGACGAACCATGGCCGTATCGCTACCGGCTCGTTGATACTGCTCTCTCGCATGAGCACTCCTTGTCGTTGGTCCCCCTGCCCCTTCTACAAGACACGACCACCAAAACCAAGGTTGAGGACTGTATTCCTGGCCAAGTAGTTTGGGGGTACCAACGAATTCATACCGCCTTGGGCGTTTGACGCGAATAAGCCCCATGCAGGGCACGTTCGCAGCACGTTCTGGATATGAAGTTACCTTCTGATGGTAAAGGTACCACTGCAATTAGGTTGCCTTGCTGTTGGATATGATTGTTGGCACTGCTGTTGCTGCCGCGTTTCACTTGCGTGCACAACTCGTCTGTCTCTGTCGGACAGGCAAGGTCTTGGAAATGCAGGCCCTCTTTCGACAAGTCTCTGTGCAACCTACAGCCGACCAGGAGGGCCAAAACATTCACGAAAGTCACTGCGCAAGCGTCCACACAAAACCAGAGACAGCGAGGCAGGGAGGTAAGGACCGGCATGGATCAAGAGAGACCCCCAATTAGTAAGAAGAGAGAGACACCATGCAGAGACCCCGCGCAAACAAACAATAACTCACCTGCGCGAATCCCCCGGCGCAACCCCCCGCAAACACATGCCACATGGAAGACGGGGCTCCGTCCTGCTGCCGCCCCCCCTGCGAACACCACCCAAGACCGGCCCCGTATCCGGCAAACAAGAGGGCGTTCTGTGCGGGCACACTCCACATCATCGGGGTCGCCCCCTTCCAGAGTGAGGCGCCACCGCCGGAGGACAGGAGGTCCTTGATCGCGGCTGTGAGAGAGCTGCTGCCTGCTGCTGTTCCGGCCTGCACCCGGACTAGGACGCTGTCCAGGGGCTGGAGCATGGGGGGCGTGGATCAGGGAATAGTGAAGATAGGGGTGGAGGGATACGTGGAAGCCATAAGGATGACCTGGCTACCTGAAATTATCGGGCAAGGCATGGTCATCTCCAAAGAGAAAACAGAACTCGCAATCATCGGCTGTGTAGTGACGCTGCTGGCACGTACCGTAGGTTGGACAATATCTCACACCCCCTGGACCGATTTTCATAGTATATTCATTAATCCACGGCGAAGAGGATACCGAAATTAACGTAAACGTTTTCGGAAAGCTCTCGTCGAGACCGTTGCAACGCCTCCGATTTCGGCACCGTCACCGCTTTTCCTGCCGAGAGTGGAGCTTCGAAATCGCTCCAGGGGGGCTGATATCTTATGCAACCTACGGTAGGCGCGTGTAGCTGCAGACGCTGTGTTGCTATGGACTTTTGGGTGGCCCAGAACTTTTGTTCGCTCGTCATGCAGGTTGCCTCCTGTCCTGTGGAGATCCTGCAGTATGGAACCCCGCTCGCATTACCGCGGGCCCGTGTACCCACAGCGTTCTGGGTCCACACGAGCAACTTACACTGACATAAACACACAACCACAGCAAGTGTGAAATGATGCACAGGTACAGTACTGGCGCGTATTCCACCTACATACAGCAGTTACAGTGTACATTCCAGAACAACGGCCCCGAGGAGGTATGGCAAACAACCCGCACGGATGTGATGGAACTCAGCCGGGTCAAGCATGTAAGGGTTCGCAGCCGATCAAGCAACCCGGTGATGGAGTCAAATAAATGCGGTACAGCAAGACTACGCAAGATACGAGGGAGACAGATCCAGACAGATTAATATCTGTGCAGAGGAAGCTCGCCCCTGCACATCCGTAGAGCGTAGGATGGTTTACTCTCTCTCTCTCTCTCCCTCTCTCTCTCTCTCTCTCTCTCTCTCTCTCTCTCTCTCTCTCC